GCAGGAAAAAGCATAAATAGGTCAATTGTAGCAGAAATTATACTGGGAACATGTGTATGACATTTCAAATCTCTTGACACAAAATATTGTCTATTAAAATAAATCCTGTAAAAGTTCTACCATTCCCCAACTTTATAACAAGACCTTTGAAAAAATGATTTTTTTTTTTCAGTCCTGTGGACAGCACCAGGTCTGTCTATTAAAATAAATCTTGTAAAAGTTCTACCATTCCCTGACTTTATAACAAGACCTTTGAAAAAATGATATTTTTTTTTCAGTCCTGTGGACAGCACCAGGTGAGTGTAGATCCAGGAGGCCACTTACCAAGTTAGAAATGGCTATCCCATTTAGTTAATGTTTTTGAAAGTCCCGTTTGCTGTCTCCTCAGAATAATTTCAGTTTGATCCTCAGTCCATTCACTGTTTGAGGGGCCGGAGTATCTGTTAACCTAGTGGAAAGGTTAGACAGTAGCAGGTACAGGGTTCAGTTTAGAGAATAAGGTACCCTGGGAGGATTGGGACCGGCTGCAAAATCAGTTCAGAAATTGGGGAAGGATGCAACTTCCAGTGAGCAAAGCCAGGAAAGCTGGTGTCTTAGTTTGGGAAGCAAAGAACAAGCTCATGGAAGTGCTTGTACCTCCCTCATTTGTCTGGTTCAAGACATGTCCTTGGGGCAAATTTGTGTGTAAGTGGTCATGACCTTGGAGAAGATCTTGAGAGAGGAATCAGTGTGGCTTCCTTGAGAGAGGAATTAGTCAGGATCCTGCAAAGGATGTACATGTTCCTCTGTAAACCTGCTGTGAGATGTAACAGCGACAGAGGGGACAGGAAAGGCACAAGGAGCCAGCATTACATGGAGGCCACCACTGCCCTCCTCAGGAGAGCGGTACTGCACTTCTACCCCGCTTCTTAATAAAGTCATAGTCTACTCACATCATTTCTGCGGGACCTTTGGAGAAAGAGTTTGTTCCCTGTTGTCCCTCACGTGGCATGGCAGCAGATACCATCAGGAGATGTTTGAGCCTCCGAGAGGCCGTGGTGTCCTCAGCCCAGGCGCTGGGTCCAGACTGTGACCGCCAAACAGAGCCCTCAGCCCACCCCTGGTCAGGTTTGCGTCCAGATCCTGTCTGCATGTGGATTATTCCTGCTAAACATGCACGAGGAAGGTCAAAATAGTCTCAGGGGTTCCATAGGGATTTGAAGGTTTTTGTGAGTAATCCATGATTTTGTAGAGGGGTTTTTCTTGTTGTTTTTTTTTAATTGGCAACTTAATTTCTTCTAAGGGTGAGACAAGTTTAAACACTAAATCTATTTTACTGGCTGACAGGGCACTGATATTTTGTAGTGGTAATAATATCCACCCAAACCATGGATGCCTTGTCCCCCAGGCTGTAAGGCATCAGTGCGCTTCACATCATGTCATGGATTATTATTTTTTTCTTTTACTAAAAGCTTTCTACTCTCCCTGCTACTTCCCTCCCTCCCTTGTTTTATCCTAATTGAAAAGCTGAAAAATATTGTTTATTCCTTTATGCTTTATTACTCTCTATTGATCACCTTCTTTCTCTCGAATCATGCCTGAAGAATAAGTATTTTCAGCAACATCTCTTTTCTCTTGCTGTACAGCACAGGGGGCCTGGTCCCAGTGTAAATAACAACAGCATTATCTTCTTCTAGAGTGTTTCTTCCAGATGGTTATTAGCGACCACC